TGAGCACGATTTCATTTCTTTTTTATTGTAGAAACCGAAACACTTCTACAAAAAAGGCTGATGGGGAGGCAAAGGAAAACAATGAAGAGGAGGATTACGAAGGGGAGAAACGGTATAGAGAAGGGTATATTGGCTACCACTATCGGTGGCATGTGAAAGTTTGAGGGGGAAATCTTCGAATCGATTGAAGACTGGTATGAATGGGGATTAGCAAGTCGCATAGAGCTCGCCAATACCTTAACCAACCTTGAGTGCTATTTCTTTTATATACTAAAAATTGAAGCACTTCACGGCTTGCGGTGGGCCATCATACAGGGAGGGACGGATGTCACTTTCTTCAAATTAAGAAGGTGAGTTAAAGGGAATCATAGAACTCAATTTCTTAAATTGAACTATTAGACATTAGCTTGGGCAAGTGATATTTTAGTGCAGATCCTGATTTGTCAAGGCTTTTGATTAAATCTTTAATCGATAGGGCACCAATCACAGTCAATTATTGTTTTGTATTTATTTTAGGGTTTAGACTAAGTATAAAATAAATTTATGTTTTTTTATATTTAGAAATATGAATATTATGATGATGTTATTGAGTATACCTTCTTATGTGTCTTATTATTTGATTTGAGAACAAAAAAATTATCTCAAAACAAAAAAAAACATCATTTTTTGGCAGCAAAATGACGTTTGAGGGGGAGAAACGGGATGGAGGGTGTATTTAATTTGCTGTCGGTATCGGTGGCATGTGGAAGTTTGATGGGGAAATCTTCGGATCCATTGGAGATCGGTAAGAATGGGAATTAGCAAGTCACACAGAGCTCGACTCAACCTTTGGATTGTGGCAGACAATCTGGGTGGCAGACTACCAACAACAACCAAGAGCAGTAGCCAGCATCAAAAGCGTTGTTAACTTGTGTATTTTGAATTAGAATTAAAACATATGAGCTTTAAATGGATAAAAAAACATCAAAATGAATTTAGAATTCAATATAATTTTACTCTATATTTTTATTTCATGAGACTAATCACAAACTAAACATCAAAAGTTTTAAAACCTCAACAGTGGCAATAAATTACACTTATATTTCATCAAACCAAACAGTCCAGAAAATGATGCTTTTCTTGTAGTGAGAGAATTTTTTATTCTTAAATCAAATAATTAGATACACAAGAATGTATACTCAATAACATCATGATCATGATAATATTCATATTTCTAAATATTAAAAAAAAGAATAAAATCATTTTCTACTTAGCCATTAGTAGAAAATAAATACAGAACAATAATTGACTGTTCATGAACAGTTCCTTATCGATCAAAGATTTAATCAAGAGCCTTGACAAATCAGGATTTGCACTAAAAATACCACTTGCCCATGCTAATGTATAATAGTTCAATTTAAGAAATTGAGTTCTATGATTACCTTTAACTCACCTTCTTAATTTGAAGAAAATGACATCCATCCCTCCCTGTATGATGGCCCAACGCATGCCGTGAAGTGATTCAGTTTTTAGTATATAAAAGAAATAGCGCTCAAGGTTGATTAAGGTCGTGGCAAGCTCTGTGCGACTTGATAATCCCCGTTATTACTGGTCTCCAATAGATCCGAAGATTTCTCCCTCAGACTTCCACATGCCACTGATGCCGGCAGCCAATACATCCTCCATCCCGTTTCTCCCCCTCAAACGTCATTTTGTTGCCAGAAATTATCGTTTTTTCTATTATGAGAGAATTTGTTGTTCTTAAATCAAATAATGACCTTAAATCAAATAATGAGACACATAAGAATGTATACTCAATAACATCATGATAATATTCATATTTCTAAATGTAGAAAAAAGCATAAAATTATTTTCTACTTAACCAAAACCCTAAAAGAAATACAAAACAATAATTGACTATGATTCGTGCCCTATCGACCAAAGATTTAATCAATAGCCTTGACAAATCATGATCTGCACTAAAAATATCACTTGTCCATGCTAATATCTAACATAAGAAAGAGACAGTTCAATTTAAGAAATTAATGTGAGTTCTATGATTCCCTTTCACTTCACCTGCTTAATATGAAGGAAGTGACATCCATCCCTATAAAAACTCATATACCTAATATGGTCTCAACTATTTTAAGAAAAATTTCTTATATTATCCTTAATGGTTTATTTAGCAAATTTCCAAAGTGAGTGACTTACAATATGCAAATAATTTCATATTAAATTCATAATTCTCAAATCTTTTATATTATAGAATGAACCCTACCATAATAGATTGAGTTTTAAAGACGGTAAATAACTTATAAGATAAATATTTCATTTAAGTCTTAGTTCTTATTATATACCTTCTTATCTGGGGAATTTTCGGTGACTTTGTTGGATCAAGCTAATGTTTAATCAAGCTTGCCAATGATATGGATTATGCTAGGGTTTTTGCTCACAGGTCTTACTTGGTTTATGGCTGTTTTATGAAAGTGATAAAGTGGTCTCCGGTTCTTGATTTGTCGGAAGAATCTCCGATCGTCCCTGTTTGGCTTTCTTTTCCGGGATTACGTCCCCATCTTTTCTCCTCCCGTATACTTTTTGGGTTGGGTTCGGTCTTTGGAAGGCCGATTCATACTGATAATGCTACGGCTTCTGGTTCCCGTCCATCAGTTGCACATGTTCTTGTTGAAATTGATGTATCCAAATCTTTTTCTGATACTGTTTGGTTGGGTCCGGAGAAGTTTGGGTATGCCCAGAAAGTCATTTTTGAGGGCATGCCTAATTTTTGTTCCTTTTGCAAAGCTTTAGGTCATAAAAAATTAGAATGTCCAAAAATTTCGTCCAAAACTTCCACTGTTGGTTTCTCTGCCCCCCTGGATATTCCTCCTGTCCCTGTTTCTACTGAAGATCCAATTACTGCTCCTGTTTTTGACAATTCTGTGAATTTATGTAATGTTGTATTTGAGCAAGATGCTTTAGATTGTGAAAATCTTGTTAATAGCCAGTCTGCTGATGTGGAGGGTGTAGTCTTGCCTGATGGTGATTGTTGGGTTGGTTCTCCTTGTGCGGGTGTGTTGTCTGGTTTGGCTGTGGGGGGTGTTTCTCCTATTGCTGCTGTTTCAAATTGTACTGGTGTGGATCTTAATAATTCTAATGTTTCACTCCCTTCTTCTGTCGATGCTGCACGAGGAGTTGTTTGTACTGCGAATGTTAGTGGTGTTGGTGAAAGGCGGGATAAGGATTTTGATATTATTTCTACCTTATCTCCTAATGATGTACCATTTTTTCTTCCTAAATTACCGTCTGATTGTGTTGAGGTATTGCCGGAAAATTCTGTGGGTGAGCCTGTACCTGGGGCTCTTCCTCCGGTTCATTGTTCGGGTGTGCCTCAAAAATGCTCTACGGTTTCTAATAATGTCATTGAGGTTCCTGTTAATTTGGTTGATACGCGATTTGTGGGCACTTCCTTAGGCGACAGCTCTGGACTGGATATTAGAAATCATTTGAATTGGTTGGATTCATCCGAGGGTGAACCTGACTCCGAATTCTCTGATGGAGCTGAGTTGGCGTCGCCAAATTTCTGTGGTGGGTCTGACCCGGGTTGTGATTTCACTCTTGTGAATGTTAGACCCACTTCTTATGTTGGAACTCGGGGTAGAACTCGTGGTAGAGGCAGGGGTCGCCGTAGGCGATACTGATTTATGCAAATCCTTTGTCTTGGTTTTGTTTATTGTTTTTTTTTTGTATGGTTTTGTTGTTATGTCGAAGAATGGGCAATGATGGGTTGGTGCTCGCACCATTGTATTTCGCTGGTGGCAACCATTGCTGTGGAACTTTCGGGTGATTTTCTCCACCTTTTGGACGGTCCTAGTGGGGTGTGGTGGTGCTGGAAGCCTCAACCACTAACTGAGCCCGCGGCTTTTTTGTAATTTTCCTTTTCTTTCCTTGCTCTTTCTTATTGTAACCGTTTTGGTTATTATTAATATATGCTTCTTTAAAACAAAAAAAAACTTACAAGATAAATATTTCATTTAAGCCTTAGTTCTTATTATGTATCTTTTTGTTGACCGGTATATATAAGAATGAACATCAAAAAATGTATATGGATAAAAGAGTTGTAACTATAAAAATCATAAATAATAGATTTTTTACAATGAAATTCTATGACACGCTTGACCTAATTTCTGCTCAAATAAATTTTCAAAATTAATTTAAAAAGTTTGTATCATGTGATTAGAATTAGAACATAGAATATAAATGAATGAATATCTTCAAGAATCTAGATGGATAATATAAATGATAAATAATATCGTTTGATCTATCTAATGCATCAAAATCTTCTAAGAAAATTCTTGGTGGTATATTATGATGAAATTTTGGTTTTCAATACAAATAAGAAAAAGAATTCTAAAGTCATTTCAAATTTGTTTTAATACAATTAATAAAGAAAACAAATGTATTTGTCATTCATTAAAAAAATAATTTTTTCCTATAAAAAGAGCTGATTTTTTTTTCTCATAAACCAGCAAGCTGATATGTTGCTCCACATTAAAAAGAAAAATGTACTACATACCCTAAAGGATAGAAAAAACGAACCAAATGTAGACTTATACAAAATTTTCACAAAATATTTAATAAATATAATAATTCCTCATACAGACTTTACCAAAAACAAATTCAACTACAAATAATTGGGATAGAGCTAATAATAATGAAGGTAGAATGAGGATTTATGATGTTAGTTGTTTGCTCGAAATAAATTGCATGTTCATATTTTTTTTCTTTTAACTTAAATTGTTATTAGTGACAATGATAAAAAATAACAAAAATAAGAAAATGAACTATTAAGACAATTAAGGTTTGTTTGGAACAGTTTTTTTTATCATTTTTAAAGCAAATTTTTAATAAAAAATTTAAATATAAATTTTTATAATAAAAATATGCTTTAGAAAAATGTCCCACCAAACGTCTAAATTGATGGTGTAGGATTAGAAAGAGAGAGAGAGAAATAATATAACATGGAGTGAAAAGAAACGACTAACACAAATTTAATATGCCTCATTTCTTCTTTCTTTCTTCCTACATGGAACAAATAACCAAAGGTTCGCCTTCTAATTCCTTCTGGGAGACATTGCAGTGACCATTCTTTCCCCACCACTCCGAACAAGGGGCAGCCACCTCGCAAACATAACAGAAGCACTGCATCACAGTTCATACCTTTCAGAAATTCAATTAGGAGAAAACAAAAAGGGCCAAATAAACAGACTTTATCCCAAAATCAAACCTTACTGCAAAAGGTCTCATGTGTAGTTCGACTAAAAGGAAAGTTACCGCATAGATGCCTTGGATGTGGAAAATCCCTAAGAGCCACCTATTTTTATCACAATCATTAGAACAATCGAAGAATATAATTAAGCTGTTTGAAAGAAGAGTTTTCCCTTTGACACACTCACATGCCCCTTGTGTGCAACAATGGCGACGCAGTCGTCGTCGGAAGAGCTGAATTCGAGCTTTGTGGTGAAATCGATTGGATCGATTTCATAGCAATCATCGCTGTCGTTATCTTCTTCCTCGGCTTGAGGATAGGCTTTCTTCACAACTTTTTTCTTATCGTCTTCCTCTTCCATCTTCGAATCATAAGCAGCACCAAGTCGGAACCAAGGGGCGGCCGCTGTGTTGATACTTATGAAATTGCTCCGTGAAGTTGAAAGGTTTTCATTTAATTTCTGTTTGATACTTCCGAAGAGTATTGTGAAGGGGCTATTATGGAAGAGTAAGAATAGCGTGGTTTACGAAGGATTTTTTTTTTTAATATCAATACAGTTTTACACTGCTCCCCCCGCCCGCCTGTCTCTCTCTTTCTCTCTCTCTCTCTCTTTTTTGTGGTTTACGAAGGATATTTACCAATGTATCAACTGTTGTAGATAATAGATTGGTGCTGATCGAGATATGGGTGGAAGCAGTGTAAAACTGTATTGATACTTATGTATCTACAGTATCATTGTTTGTATATATAACATAAGGTAAAGAGAGCTCCTAGTGATATAACGGCTGAGATGAGTGATCAGTTAGTAATCAATGGCTGGATGAGTGTTGAAAGAAAATCTGCAGCAAAAGTGCAGTAATGGAGACCAAGCTTTACTGGAGAAAACGGCTGGCTTATTACTCAATTTGTTGCGTAGGTGAGTGAACTGAGTGGGTGATAAAGCTTTGGTGAAAATGTTAGCAGGCTGGTACCTCATGTAAATGTGATGTACAACCACATTTTTAAGGCGAATCCTATCCCTAATAAAATGGTACTCGATCTCTATATGCTTGGTGCGGGCGTGGAAGACTGGGTTGTTGACAAAAAAGATCTTTGAGATGTTGTCATAGTAGAGAGTGGCAGCTGGAGAGCTGATGTGAAAGTCTTCTTGAAGAAGTCTACGAAGCCAAATGATGTTCGAAGCTGCAGCCACTAGCGCCCTGTATTTTGGTTCGGTGAAAGATCTTGCCACCGTGGGTTGCTTCTTGACACTCTAGGAAATGAGAGTGTTCTCTAGAAACGAACAGAAGCCTGTGGTTGACTTCCTATCATTTGGGCGGATGCCAAATCAAAATTCAAATAGGAGTGTAGAGTGAGTTCGCCTTTGCTAAGGGTGGAGAGGGATTGGGGATTATTGCTGGTGACTAGTGTGTCATCTACAAAAATAGGGAGAGAGATTTGAGTGTTGGAAGATGAACAAATGAGGAGAGACTGGTCAAAGTTGCTGAAATGAAAATTGCGTGAGAGAACAAAGTTGGAAAAAGTGGAGAAATATTGACGAGGGGCTTGTTTGAGGCCATAGATAGCTTTGTGGAGTTTGCATACATAATTTTGGTGAAGCGGATCAATGAATTCGGTGGGTTGGGTCATGTAAATGGTTTCACCGAGGGTTCCATGAAGAAAGACGTTGGGGAAGTCAAGTTGGTTGACTGGCCAGTTGTTGTGTAGTGCTATGACTAGGAGGACACGAATTGTATGGAGTTTGGCAACGGGGCTGAAAGTTCGTGATAATTGACGCCGTATTGTTGCTCTGAGCCTTGTGCTACTAGCCGGGCTTTGAGGCGGTCAAGTGAACCATCAGATTTGAGCTTAGTTTTGTAGGTTCATTTGCAGCCTAAAATGGGCTGATTTGTGGGTGGTGGGACAATAGACCATGTGTCTTGTTGTTGAAGGGTTTGGAATTCAGTGGACATTGCTTGCCCCCATTGTGGACATTTGGAGGCTTGGGTGTAGCAAGTTGGTGTGGGTGATGAGTGGAGTTGAGAGCTAAGTGTAAAGATGGATTTTGGTTCCCCCACCCCCCCACACCTTATATATATATATATATATATATATTATAAGGATTTTTAGGCAATTGTCTTCCTAAAAGTTTTAAAATACTATGGTCTTTAGACAATTGCCCTAACACAATTAAACATCTTATGTAGAGATGTTATTGTTAGGGAATCAAAATTATCCTTACAACCAAAAATCGAAAGAGAAACATCCTTACAAAAAGAAATAGTAAAGAAAATTCAAAAATATCCTTATAACCAAAATTTGTTCCGGTTGAATCCCGCTAGAGGGCGCTGCCTCCTTGGATCCCCAACATATCTACGAAGCATACAACTATCAAGGATATGAACAAATATAGGTAAAGGGGTAGCGCCCACGAACAAGTTTTGATTGTAAAGATATTTATGAAATAAAAAATCTCTACATTTTTATTTATGAGTTTGTTCCCGTTGAAAATTAAAGCTGGTTCCGCCCCTATTTGAGCTCTTGTGAGCATTGGATGTCTGTGGAGCTGAGGGAGTGGCAAGTTTGAGATGGGAAACTGGGAAGGTTGGGGGAGATTTGAAGTGGTGGTATAATATTTATAGCAGATGTATCGGGTTGAATAATGGGATTGAGTGTGGTGTTAGAAGGTGAGGTAGGAATGGGGATAGTTGAACTGTGTGATGTATGGGGAATGGTTTTTAAATAAGACAAACATTTAATCACATAAAGCATAAAGCCATATGTTTTAGGAATACAAGCACTATTTGCAAGATAATAAACCTAATATACAGTTTTGTCCATACCTTCTAGCTTGGACGCACCCCTCTATTAGCCCTCATTTGGTTGTTCTAATTATGAGAGTGAGAGAGGTACAAGAGGGTGATGGAGCCGGAGTTGCAGACCTGGACAGTAACGGGTGGTCGGTGTGAGGTCGATGGGCTAGCTTGGCAGCAGCTGATGGCCGCTTGCGTGAGAGGAGGGGTTTGGCATGGGGGTAGGCCGGCCTGTTTGGGAGGTCACGACATCTCCAACAAAGAACTCCATTTTTCACGGCAAAAAAATATCAAAACTTCAAAATGCCGTGGTGCTGCTCAAATCGAACTCTATTTTAAGTGCTTCTGCGAAGGTAACGATCCTTCTCCCTCTCCTGTGTTTTTTCCGGTTGAAAGAGCAAAATAGCGTAGATGAATAGTGCAACGCCAATATTGGTGTCGCATTGTTCACCTGCAAGTAAATAACGAAAGATTTGATGTTCGGCTGGAACGACTAAACGACACCATACGCACGTTTGACGTTCCGGCGTTCGGTTGGAGATGCTCTAAGAGACGAGAGCAAACCCAATAAAAACTCCCAATCGAGAGATCCAGAGCCCCATAGGAGAGGAGACTCAAAAAGTACTTTGGCAGGTAAGAATTTTTATTTTATTATTTTTTAATTTTTTTTTTATATGAGGAAGGGGTTATTATAAAACCAGCCATGATGATTTTACTTGATTTAAAGTGATATAAAAAGTATGGGGTTAAAAATAACTTGTATTTAAGTTTAATTGAAATTAATTTGAATAGGATGTTTTTTCTTTAATAAATATATGTATTCATTATTTATATTTTTACATTTTAATTTAAATTTAACCTTTTTTATTTATTTAATTTTAAATTATTCAGAAATTAATTCTATATTTTTATATATTTTAGAAACAATAATAATAATAAAATTTTTCTCATCGACACATATCAAATAACACCCGATTTAAGCACGAATGTGCTCATTTGCTCATCTGTGAGTCGTATGAAGTGGTGTGATCTATTCCACAAAATGAGACCATGATCAAAACATTATGTACGGAACACACATGCACATTTTAGTTTTAAATGCACGTAAAATACACATTAAATTGTCATTAATCCGATCATACATATTTTAAAATAAAATTTGAGACAATATGTGATCCAAATGAGTAAATCCTAAGAATGATGACAAATTAATATAAAATATCTGAAGTCGCGTGCGGAGACGGGTTTGAGGCAAGCGGGCACTGTGTGGGATTCAGATTCGTAATCGGAAGCAGATCGAACTGGGGCGGACGCGGGACAGGTGTGGACCGCGGGTCGCGCGGGAACGAAGATGGAGTTGGTCAGGTGCTGGAGCGGACGGAGCCGCGGGCGGCTCGGTTTGCGCGTCGCACAAAGTCGCGACGGCGAAGCCGGCCACCGGCGGAAGCCGAGGAGGTCGATTTGCCGGTATTGTTACCAGCAGTGGGTAGGATCGATATTGTCGGTATGGTTTCCAGAAATTCATAGATTTGAAAAGCCGGTATAGTTGCCAACTGTTCTACGAGATCAAAAATTCTTCCCTGATCGTGGTCGAGAGTGAACTTCTGAAGTCGGCCTTCTAATTCCTTCTGGGAAACATTGCAGTGACCATTCTTTCCCCACCACTCCGAACAAGGGGCAGCCACCTCGCAAACATAACAGAAGCACTGCATCACAGTTCATACCTTTCAGAAATTCAATTAGGAGAAAACAAAAAGGGCTAAATAAACAGACTTTATCCAAAAAAATCAAACCTTACTGCAAAAAGTCTCATGTGTAGTTCGACAAAAAGGAAAGTTGCCGCATAGATGCCTTGGATGTGGAAAATCCCTAAGAGCCACCTATTTTTATCACAATCATTAGGACAATCGAAGAATATAATTAAGCCGTTTGAAATAAGAGTCTTCCCTTTGACGCACTCACATGCCCCTTGTGTGCAACAATGGCGACGGAGCTATCGTCGGCAGAGCTGAATTCGAGCTTTGTGGTGAAATCAATTGGATCGATTTCATAGCAATCATCGCTGTCGTTATCTTCTTCCTCGGCTTGAGGATAGGCTTTCTTCACAACTTTTTTCTTATCGTCTTCTTCTTCCATCTTCGAATCATAAGCAGCACCAAGTCGGAACAAAGGGGCGGCTGCTGTGTTGATACTTATGAAATTGCTCCGTGAAGTTGAAAGGTTTTCATTTAATTTCGTTTTGATACTTTCGAAGAGTACTGTGAACTGCTCGTGTTGAGCGAAGGGCTTTAATGGCAGAGTGAGAATAGCGTGGTTTACGAAGGATATTTACCAATGTTCCGACTGTGCTATAGATAAGTGATTGGTGATGATGAAGATATGGAGTGTTATTCCTTAGCTTTGCATGAAATGAGATAATCTCTTTAGAAAAATATAAAACTACTTCGAGCTTTTATTTTGTACGGACATCGGATGGGAGAATCGTCCGATTAAGTATTGGGTATCCAGCAATACCAAGCGGTACCTAATGCGGGTACCGAGCTATGTACCCATCAATGAGGTGACGTGGCGTATTTTTATGGTCTCCGCAGGCCCTCCGCACTCCGCACAGAATAATTCTTCCCATAATAGAGCATCTTGTGTTGAACATGATGTCAAGCTGCGGTAACGAGCAGTATCGGGTTGGATACCGAGCAAAAATGACATGACGCAGTCTGATTGGTTTCTGAACGGCATTCGGCGTCCATGAAGAATAATTACGTACTCCTAATTTTTATTAAAAAAATAGTTAAAGAATAGAAGTATTTGAAACGAAGATGCATTGCCTGTGCATTGCTTTGAAGTATTGAAGTAATGAGGCCTGCTATATGTGGTGTTTGTGGGTGAGCAAGATATTGGTTGCGCTTGTGGACACGAACAAAATGTCAGGTAGGGACAAAGTAAGATAGTCAAGCCTGCCCACAAGGAAAAAATATCCTGGCGAGCACCGGACGTCATCCAGAGGCGAATCAGAGCACGTCATGCCACCCCTTTGTTGTGCATCACAGCTGTGTATCTGTTGTGTATCAGATGACGTGACATACTCTCATTAACTTCCGATCGATCTGGTGTCCATATAGAATAATTTCTAGCCCACAAGTCATTGTATTGAGAATCGTCACACAAATGATCACAATCAGAATCAATGAGATAAGTTTTGGGATCCATAAGCGACTGTGCAGCTTGTTTGGGTCCTGGAAAACATGTTTCATTTAGTAGTTGAAGAGTACGAAATGGCACTAGGATAATGCTATGCTAGAAGTAGAGAAGACAATTTTAAAACCATTAAATTGATTTAATAAACTCTGAATTCAATTAAAAATGATGTTAGAATAAAATTATCAATACAATTCGCTATGAAGTCTCAAATTTTCTATTTAGTATAATTTAAGCTAAATCTGCTTCATAATTTTAGTTAAATACCTGTGATTTAACTTCCAAACCAACTCTTCTGCAGAAGCAGATTCAAATGAATAACGTACGTATCTTCATCATTGTTAGCCTCTTTGAAATTATTTGGGCTGGTTGTTTAAAGCACCTTTCATTCTTTCTTGTTGATCTTTGTTTGAAATTTCAAATCTATATTCACAAATCTTTTTTGCAACATTTTTCTTTTTAATAGGAAGATCTTTTGAAGCCTATACAATTAGGGGTGTCAATTTCGGGTCACAGGTCGGGTTCGGGTCGAACCTGGAACTGACCCGGGTTCAATCGGGTCGATCCTAAGCCGACCCGGGTAGGTAAACGGGTCGAATATTCGAACCTGGACCCGACCCGGCGGGTTGCCTGGTTGACCCGACCCAACACGGGAAGGAGACCGGGTTGACCCGGCAACTCGTCGGGTCAACTCGAACCCGACCAATTTTTTCAAAATGGTCGAATCTGCGAACCTGAACCTGACTCGTTTTTCAAACGGGTCGGGTCCAACCGGATTTTTCGGGTCGGGTCCGGATCGAATTTTCGTGTAGTGTCAAATATTGACAGCCCTACATACAATGTTGTTAAAATTATTAATGAACCTCATATAAACTATAACTGTTCATGAAATATCCAAATGCAAAGAATTTTTTTGGACTTTTCTATCAATGATTTCCTTAATCTTTATAAGATCAGGTTGCTGTTGAGGAAAAAAAGTGAGCCCTTTTGATAGGAAAAAGATTATAAATTGTTTTGAATGGCATACAAATTTGTTTTGTTTCTTAATTGTATTAAAACAAGTTTAAAATAACCTAAGTATTTTTTATATATTTGTATTGAAAATTAAAATATAATCAACATGTGTACCACAAAAAAATTTCTTAGAAGATGCTAAAGCACTTTGTTTATAAATTTCATGAATATATTTGATGCATTAGATAGATCGAAAGGTATTATTTATAATTTATATAATCCATCTAGAGTCTTGAAAGACATTTATCCATTTATATTCTACGTTCTAATTCTAGTCACATGATATCAACTTTTTAAATAAATTTTGAAAAATAATTAGTAGAAATTAGGTCAAGTGAGTCAAATGTAGAAACACTATATAAAAATTATGTACTTTATGGTTATTATAGCTAGTAACGGCTCTTTTATCTGTATATATCTTTCGATGTTCATCCTCATAGCATCCAATAAGAAAGTACACCAAAAGAACTAAGACTTTAAAAAAAAACTCATCTTGTGAGTTATTCAAATATCTATAGAACTCAATATATAATATAGGGTTCATTCTATAATATAGAAGATTACAAATTTATGAATCTAGCATGAAAGTGATTGCATAAAGTAAGTCTCTCATTCGGGAAACTTACTAAATAAACCATGAGTATAATATTAGAAAATTTGGTTAAAAGATTTGAGGCCTTATTAAGTATGTGAGTTTTTATAGGGATGGATATCACTTCCTTCATATTAAGTTGGTGGAGTGAAAGAGAATCATAATACTCACTATATTTTCTTAAATCCAATTGTGTTTTTCTTATTTAATTTTATCAAAAAAATATTTTACCATGCCCAAATACTTGAGTTTAAATTGTTTATGCAAAAAATCTTTGATTGAATTAATAATGTACATATTTAGACCTATGATTAGGATGCCATCAATGTATACTAATTAGGCAATAAAATTAGAATCACTTCCTTTTGTAAATAAGGAATATTCATGTTTTGATTGAGTTTTACAAGACATCTTGTTGAGACTTCTCAACACAATAGTATTTATTTATAATGTGGTGTTTATTGAAGAACATTGGGATCTTAGCATTGTCGAATCGATAAACCTCGGCGGAAATATTAAATAAGAGTCATTATCATGTTAAAAAATCTTTCAATTATTGCACTCGGTGCTTCAGATTTATATTTAATAAGTTACATCCACATAAACCAAATTAATTTTTCAGTAAGAGTTAAAAAGTAATGATAACCAAGATACTTAGGACACAACTCCCCTTGGTCTATTGGTTGAGAGCTTAGGCTTCCAACTATGAGGTCCAAGGTTCGAGTCCATGTGTATGCGTTGTGTGTGTGAGTTTGCCTTAAATGGCCTAAATGTCCCAAAAAAAAAAAAAAGATACTTAGGTGTATGAAAAACTTTCAATATGTTGAGAAAATGAGACGAGCTCAACAAAGACGATGAA